TATCTCTACATCATATCTCTTCATCATAATCCCCTAAATGTCTATATAAATAGTCCAAGTTTCTTTATGTGCCTGACGACCATGGGGGAAACACGTCGAAACGCTTCATGAAATTTTAACCAGTGTAATGGTTAATTTAAAATGCAATTACAGAAGAACAGTTTTTTTTTTCAAAAAGGATGCGTAACTATTCAACATAATATTGATATGTTACACATCTTCGCCACTATCTGTCAAATGAACACATCGATAACATTTAGATTTTGATGATTTTGTCTTTTCGTTTCAGGCCAGGGTGCTCAATAGTGGCTTTTACTATTGAGTTAATACACCATAGTTGGGATACCATTCCCGTGGAGGTTAGTAGCATAGATGTACATTATAACGGTATAAAATTGGGCACTATACAAATAAACCGTATGCGTATAATCCTTTCTTGAAAATGATGTATCAAAAATGTTCAATGTAGTCTGATAACCTTTGATGCAACAGATGTCATGATGTAGTCATTTGATACTAGCTACATGTGAGATTTTTACTAGACAAATGCAAGTGACAACAACTTTATCTTCCATTGGTACAATTTTGAACCAACCTTTAGATTGTGATTTTGAAAAGTGTTACAGATAGTTTGAAGTGAGTTTGATCAGAACAGAAAACTAATGAATTATATCCTGTTGAGTCCCAGTGACATTTATGTCCATACGTCAGTTTTAATGGGCCAAATTATTACACATGTAAACAAAAAGTTTATTTAATGGTTGTATTATTGTGATGTTTTCTTATATTTCAGGGTTTCAAGTATATAGTAGCTCGTCTTTAGCTACGGACAACATGGTTAGATATGGTGTACAACCTAGGTTTTTGGAGGTAGCTCACAAGGAGCAAAATTTTCGCGTTTACGGGTTGGGCTCGCGTGTCGTTTAGTTGTGGCAGCCTGTGGGCTACCTTGCTAGGGCCACCTAGGTTATACTCGGCTAAGCTGCCATATCATGTCCACCCAGCCTCTCTTGGAACAAATGGCGGTAAGTCATTCTCATTTAATAATATTCAGATATTTGTTGACTTCTACCTAGTTGATTTAGAAAAAGAGTGCGAGATTAATAGAAATAAATCCCACTTTCGCAAGCCAATTACAAGTCGTGTCTCATATGGTATAGCTATACAGCATCACCTCTTTCACAATTTTCCAATGAATCTGGTTGAGAATTAATTTAAATCATTGATGGGAATGAGGACTTGAAGGATCATAGGTAGATAAGCAATCAAATCACCTTTATTCAATCAAGATGAGCCGGATCATTTAGCATATGCAGGAAAATTATGTTATGTGGAGGAATTTTCCCACTGGGGTAAAACATCCTTATTTTTTTCTGAATTTGCTCTATTAAAACTAGGTAGAAATCAACAGGTGTCAGACTATTACTTGGTAAAAAAAAACCTGCTCACTATTGCGGACTTTCAAGATTGATTAGGGTGAAATTGTACAGTATGTATTCTGTGAAATCAAGTATTAAATATACATAAATATATTTTAGGAGTGCATTTCTAGATCGCTATACAATTGAAATATTGAGCACTATTTCAACAGTGAAAGTATTTTGTTATTGTAATTTTAGATCGCATAGCGTGAAACGACATGATTTTTGAGGTTCTGTTTAATATTTCTAATTTTAGGTGTATACAGATAGAGCTTCAATATATATGAATAAAGTGCTTAT